AACGATTGGTCGATAAACAGATCCTCTCTGGAAAAAAAAGGGTTGGCAGAACCTTGGTGTAAACTCTGTAAATCAGCTTTCCCCAGCAGGAAAATCCCGGAGACTATAGAACATATTTTTCTGGCATGCCCAACTTCCATTTAGCTATGGAGATGGTGGGATCGCATCTGGGGTCAACTGGAAACAACACAACAATGGCCCTGGGGATGAAAAGTAATTATGCTAGAAGTATGGACCCCAGATCAAATGGACAATTTTATTCAGAACCTATTCACCCTGGGTAGGAGAGTTATTCTCTGGGCTATTTGATAGCTCTCTGGGCTATCTGGCAACGGAGATGCACCAATGAATGGGAAGGGGTTAGACTTGATGGCCCATAATTTACTGATAACATCAAACAGCAAGTGCAAAACGATATTTTGGCGCAATGGGAAAAGCTAAAAGACAAGCTACAACACAACTTCTCAAAAGCAAATATCCTCAAAGCAATCAAATCCTTCAGCAAAGACTGGCTAGGGGGGGACAAATGGGGAAAATTTGGAAGGATAGAATGGAAAGGTGAGAAAGGTGCGAAAGGTGATGAGGGGCAAGAAATAAATAGAAATTACAAATGGTTTTTTAATGGGTGGACTGAGGTTCACCCCTCCATCCCTCTCCGCCCAATGCTGGATTTCCCCAATCCCTTCCCCCCATCCCCTAATGCTATCGTCCCATTCTCATGGCATGGTCTGGAAGCTTAGGAAGAAATAAAAGCTTGTAAGGAAAAGAGAGTTCTAGCATATACAACAGGCATAGTTTGAGAGAGACCTTTTTCTTAAGCAAGAGTCGGGCACCACATACAGCTAGGATTAAAATGTTCACTTCTGGCGCCCTGCCCTGGGTGAAGAGGCTCAGGCCTGGACTCCTACAACATTTCTTCTTATTATGAAAAGGGACAGTGGACCCGTTTTCCAGCAGGTGCAGCTCCCCACCAATAGATGGAGTGACCAATGCAAACCTTAGTAGGGAGGGCTTCTCTTACCACCCTACCTACCATGGTTTACTGAGTCTTAACAAAAAAAAATAAAAAAAAAATAAAAAAATAAAAAAAAAATCATAGTAGAGATGACGAAGGGGAGATGATGGAGGCAAGACGAGGGAGCGATGACATTGGTTCCATGTTGCATACTTCGATGAGTATGGGCAGAACCAAAGATCAACCAATATAGGATGAGCATGTATGCAGCGGAAGTCTGATAAACGAACTGACTCACATAGAGTGACTCACATAGACTGACCTACATGGCATCACTCCACACACATACAATCATGAGATGGTGGGGTCTGGGTCATTCATAGACGATACCCAGATCCCGTACACACATACACAGATGAAAGGTGGGAGGAGAGACGAAGGAGGTAGGAGGTAGATCACACCGATAGGTCACAAAGATAGAGTCTGATAGGTCTCCGAAATGGTAGTCCAGAATGTCATATAACAAGATCAAAATGTCGAGGACCAAAGGTCACCAATNAGTCCAGAATGTCATATAACAAGATCAAAATGTCGAGGACCAAAGGTCACCAATGTCGGAGATAACAGAGTCCAGATGTAACCGGTGTCCAGCTGTGATGCAGCCGAGTATCAACCTCAACAATCTCCAAGTCTCCAATCAGGTAAGTACCACAGTCTCATATCACCGAAATCCAACTCTGATCTCTGTCCAACTGGATAGTCTCCAATCTGAAGAAGAAGAAGAAGAAGAAGAAGAAGAAGAAGAAGAAGAAGAAGAAGAAGAAGAAGAAGGAAGAGGAGAGAGAGAGAGAGGGGACTGGCGAAGGAGAGGAGGAGAGACCCTCCAAGCTCCCGATACCTCAGGCGGTGAGGGACCCAGGGTAGCTGCGGGTGTGTGATCAGCTTCAAAATCCATTTTGTTTGGAGTGCCTTCAGTTGCTGTTCCGGATCCAGTATGCCCAGTCCCCCTTGGTCCTTGGATTTAATGACATGTCGTCGTGCCCCCTTGGAGATAAAATGTTGCTTAGTTGGGTTTAATGTCCACAGGAACGCCGCTGATCTCTCCTTAGTTCCTTCATTGCCTGGACTGGTGGAGTCCATATCGAGCCAGCATACCACAACATAGAATACACTGAGGTGTTAAGAATAAGGGCTCGTCCAAAGACGGATGTGTAAACCTGGGACCACACACTGATCCTTGTTAACATTTTAGCCAGGAGTTCCGGTGTCATTGAGGGGTGGGGTCTGAGTCCGCCTGTCTAACCCCTAGATACTGCAAGGGTTCAGCAGTTGAGACCCAACTCATCCCGCCGTAGTTCGCTGGGTGGAGGTAGCCCTCTTCTGTCCCTTGTACCAGCCACCAACACATTGTCTTGGGCCAGTTGATTCTCATTTCTGACGCTAACTGGAAGGCACTCATTGCCCTTGTGAGGGCTTCGAAGGAGGAGTCTGAGGCCCGTATCAGAACTGCTAATTCATCTGCGAAGAGTATGGTTGTGGGGAGCGTGAAGGTTCTACCTTTCTGGTCTGGTTCTGTTACCAGCGTGTCTATCGAGGGGTCCTTCCTTGAGAACGAAGCTACCGCTTCCATGATAAAGAGAAAGATAGGGGCCGCTAGAGGATCGCCTTGTCGAACAGACCTTGACATCCTATACCTCTCTGGCAGGTGTCCATTTACCTGGACCTGCCCATGGGCGTCATTATAGAGAACCCTTATCCATTTTCGAAAGTTTGGGCCCACTACCATTTTTTCCATACAATGCTGAAGGAAATTCCAATTTACCTGGTCGTATGCCTTTTCAAAGTCAAAAAATAGGATAGCTGCACTGATTCTTTTTTCTCTGATGTATCTTACTGACTCCGAAAGTGTCATTACATTATCGAGGATAAACAGTCCCGGAATAAATTCAGTCTAGTCTGGTCTAAATGAAAACATCCCCTGGTCACCTTACTCAGTCTGTTGGCTAGGGCCTTTGCTACTATTTTGTGTGTTAATGTCAGTAACGTGATGGGTCTGTAGTTTTTTATGTCTTTAGGATCTCCCTTCTTGAACAGCAACGTGACTATGCCTGTGGCCGGGTCTACTCCCAGACTCTCCTCCTGCCAAGATTTATTCAGGTACTGCTCGTATTCCCCCCCAAAATCGGCCAGAATTCCATCCAGAACTCCCTTGTAAGTCCATCCTTTCCTGGTGTTGTGTTTGGAGACATCGTCTTAAGGGCTGCCCATAGTTCTTCCTGTGAGAGAGGAGCGTCTAGCTTCAGCGCTTGCTCTCCATCTATCGTATGCTCCAAATAGGTGAGGAACTTGGTTCTCGCTTCCGCCGTTTGTTGGGACGGCTGTTCTGACTCTCTTGACGTGTAGAGTGCACTATAGAAGTTGTGTGCCACTGAGACCAAGTCCTCCGCTTCAGAAACCACTCCCTGAGGGCCTTCGGGACTTTGATGAATCATACTGAATTTTCAGTTTTTGTCTTTTTTTTTTTAAACTAAACACTGTAAACAGTAAATAACTTTCCACATTCAAATACTCCGAGTGAATGTGAAAAGTTATTTACTGTTTAGATTTTAAAAAAGTGACAAAAACTGAAAATTGAGTATGATTCATCAAAGTCTGATTTCAGAGAAAGGAAAAATGTTTTTACTATCGTCTTTGAAATATTCTACAGTTTCTACTATTTCTTACAACAACAATTCTCGCCAATTTATTATCTCAACAATTATCAAACAATGATCTCTTGTCATTTATGAAAATGCCTGTGAACTCGTGTGGAGAGTTGTTTCAAAGAAGCATAAATCATCAATGGAAGTGAATCTGAAAAGAGAGAGAGAAATTCAATGACCAAAAAAACTATAAAACAAAATGAAATTCAAGGCAGAGTATCTGCATGATTAAGTAAATGGAATATAGAACATAGACCGCTAGGGTTTGATTACCAAGGAGTAGAAGTACTTCAAATAAAACCTAAAAAATTGCCTTCTGTAGCAGTTAGGGGGACGGCCTTGAGGTATCATTGTCAAACTGAGTGGCCCCAGGTAATTCAGAGCTGTTCCATGCATCTGAGTCCACGTGGATTCGAACTTGAGACTATTTATCACGGTTCATGGGCATACCATTCAGCCACATGCACTGGGTCCGTATTGTTTCTTTAAAGTTCCGAGTTCAAAGCTTTCTGCATTGTCCTGGTCTCCTGTCTACCACTCAGCCATGCTTCAGGTTTGTCGTTTATCTATTTTTGTCCATCCATGTTCCCTTGCTGCACAGTGTCTTCATCCACTTTGCCCAAGAACTTCGTTCTCTCCCCCTTGTGTTGAAGCCAATGCATATCCGCCCTCTGAGCATCTGCTGGTAATGGTAGACCTCGGCTGTATCACTCTTCTCCTTGGGCACCCTGTCTTCTCCCCTTTGCTTCTTTATTTACTCCCCACCTTGGCGTTCAGTTTTGCAGTGGGCTTCTCGCTGTCTTATGTAATCTTCTGCTGACAGCCACAGCTTCTGCTGGCATCCAGAAACCGTTTCTACGACTCTGTGTGTGTGTGGTGCTCTGTGTGTGTGTGTGTGTGTGTGTGTGTGTGTGTGTGTGTGTGTGTGTGTGTGTGTGTG